CACTGAATCCGAAAACCTATAATATGTCAGTTTTAGGTTATTTGTTGTTATTTTTAGATAAAGTGACAGTTTATTTGACAGCTGTCAACTGTCAACGTTTAAATTTCACTTGAAATTCTTATTGGAAATCACTTTTAAGGTTTGCTGCTATTTTTAGGGAAAGTAGCAGCGGATCTGACAGCCGTCAAGAATCAAAGTTTATATTTGACCTGGAATTCGTGATCAACGAGTCCTAAAGGGCTTCACTTTTAAGTAGTTTCTTTTTATTTTTAGAGAAAGTGAAAACAGTTGTTTGACAGCTGTCAACTGTCACAATCCTACTAAAATCCTATGCTGTGGAACGCAGGGGTAGTCTTTTTAATTTTTTTACTTTATCTTCGGCATTTACATTTTGATGTTCTTGTCTCGAGGAGAAAATTTTGTTTCTGCCAAAGTTTATTCACTTCATATAATCCGTTCTTACCCACCAGATTTCAGTTCCTACCAACTCGACATATTGTCAGTAATTAAAGCTCATCACAAATCATGTTAAGAAAGTTTTTGCGTTATTCCAGTAGAACTATTTTAAATAGATTTTTTATTTGCCGAATGTAGGTGTCACCGAAAAGTGTTCACCAAAAAAAAAGTATTTTTGAAATTGCTTTACAAAAGTACTTAGACTCGATGCTGAACGACGAACTTTTTTGTTTGCGTGTTAGGTAGTACACTCTAATGTGCATACCTACTTTATTTTCATAGAGAAGCATGCGACGCATTACTTGTGCAACTAACACTCGCCTAGGCATAGAAAAGAAAGAAAGCATAGAATGCTTATGTGAGTATATCGTAAAAAACGCTATTTACGCAATTGTAAACAAATTTAAGTTTAGTTTTGATTGTTCCTACCGATCTTATCGCCTTTGGCTGAACGCATATTCTTGGCGCCATGGCTCACTAACAAATACCTGCTTTAAGCTGTCAAACGGTTTACTTAAATACACTTAAATATTTTAACAACGCTGAACACTGATTGTCATGTAAGTGCGGCTTAATAGCCCAGTGCGGTAAAGCCAAAGCTAAGTGAATTCACGTACGCTTAGTGGAGGTACTTTATCCACCATCTGTTAGAGAGGTCTCAAATTGCTTATGTGAATAGAACTTTGGCCAAAATTTATGTATGTTGCGTAGAAGGAAGTGGTGGTTTCATGCAAACAACAAGTGACCCAACTGCACTAGAAACGATTCATGCACCGTTGGCTTAACGAATCTTACGTTGGACGGCGGCAACTGCATGCCATACGGATTTATCTTTAAGCATCTTATCTTCGGCCTCAAGACCGATTTACGACCGGTTGTTCAATGTCTGGTTAACGCAAATCGGAGGTAGAAGGTCCGGTTAAATGCAACGACTGCTTTATCGATCACATGGTGTATATATGCATGATGTCGAAATCGTCGATAATGATGTTTAACTGGGAGGAAGTGATAACCAGACATTGAACAACCGGCCCGTACACTGTAGCATAGCTATCTCTACTACGAATCGTTCGCAGTGGAAATGCACATGTTTAATACCTTCTCAAACATTCGTAAAGATTTTGTCTTAGAATACCCTTAGAGAAATTTTCCAGCGAATAATTTTCAAAACTACTTAAACCCTCTAGCTACCTAACAAATGCCATTTTATTCTAGATTTCCATAGTAGGGGTCAAAATGACCCTTTCGTGTGAGAGCTAATGGGTCAAAATATTCTACAGAATTTTGCCTCGTGAAATTTTACTATATGTATATACTTTTCCATTTATTCTAAAAGCCTAAGGCAAAAAATTGCAAACTTAATTTGGCCATACAAAATCATCCTATTTACTCCCAGAAATTTTTGTACAGTGATATTAGTGACAGACAATGTAGCTAACTTCCAAGTCATATTTAAATAAAGATTGTACGATTCGCCTGCGTTAAGCTGAAGGCTATTAACCTATCTCAAATAAACTGTTTCTAGAGTCTTCCCATAATATCTAAAGTACATATCGGGTGATATGGGCATGATTTATATTCTATTATATATCATTATAGTCTATTATGTATTCCGTGATGGAACACACTATCGATCAAAAGCATTCTGATGCCAAACTTCAGCCTGATACTTCTGGAAAGTTCTTGGGCTACTTGCCCAGTACGGTCGACTGAAACGTAACTGATGACGTGAATTTAAGCTCAATAGATCCTAAAAATTTTATGAACTTCCCTGATTTTCACGCTTCTAAAGTTGTCCAAGCTATCATAGAAGAATATCTACCCAAAGCAGAGCATGTACCCAGGGTGAAATCTTCATCTGAACGAGCAGGGCACTGGCACAGAAGTTGCAGAGTCGTTGACTCCTCCTCTTCATCTTGATAGGCATTCTTGCCAATTAGGCAGTGTCCTGCTATAACAGATGCTAACAAAGTGATATTCTGCTTATTAAGACACAGTCAGTGCGTTTAGCGCTGAGCACCGACCACAATTTCTTGACAGGCTTGCAGGTGATTTCGTCATGCCATCTGTCGTTCGCTACTTTCGTAAGCCTCTCGGAAATAAGTATTTTGCAAGTTTCATCATTTATGTATATCCTCAATAGGGGCTTTGGTATTAAGTCGCGCCAGCTCATAAGCCTTACGATTCCCAACATTGACATGTTGTAGTGTCCCGAAACCCATATCACCCTTGGTAGAAATGACTCTGCCATCTCGTTACGAGATGTGCGGCATTTCATGGCTACCGTGGAGGTTGTCGACTGCTTCATGAGGGACTTGATTGCCGCCTTGCTGTCAGCAAAGATGTAGATATCAGCTTGGGACATAATATCACACTTTACCAGTTTTGTAGCTTTGTACAGTGGTCCGGAAGACGATATCTGAGGGAAATTCTTAGGTGTTCGGTCCACCGACTCTACCCTCGAGCTTTGAGCCAGCTGTGTGTACAAGGCTGAACTCGGCCTTCCTTGGAGCATCTCATCTCCACTCTTCCCTTGAGGGCAGGAGGCTTCGGAAGTGCGTAGTCCACAAATCCCGGAAGCCCCGAAAACTCTGTTAGTATCTTGTCATGAATATAACTAGTTTTTGACCACTTATTTAATTTTTTCATGCGAATTACCGGAACGCTGGAACACATTTGGCATGTTGTTCTACCGGAGAAAGTTCAGTGGGGATACAGTGCTTCTGGTGGTGTAGTTCTCATCGCTTCAGTACAGTCATTCATATTTCTTAAGTTTACCCCTCTCTCAAGGGTGTCCCTCTATACCACTATACCATGATAGAGAATTTCCCTAACTACCGCGGTGGTATAGGCTATGCAGCTAGGTTAAACACGATTCAGCCGTGGAGACACCTTAGATTCCGACCCTCATAAGTAATTGAGACTCTAACGGATAATCTACTCTGTTTATACAACGAACGAGTGGGAAGGTGCCAGGTACTTAAACCCGGGGTCGGCGGCTAAATGTGCAGATGGTTCCAAGCTTAATTAAAGAATAGGTAGCAGAATTTACTCTGGTCAACTTGGGCGAAACCTAAGTTCTCGCTTATCGGACCATTGTAACGTTTTTCAAGCACTGCTAAACGCCATAACGGAGACAGCACGGGGGCTCATAACCTCTGTCACTCCAAGACAGTCTATAGCTATTTATTCTTACAGCCAGGCTGCTATAAAATCTCTTAACTCTAAAGGGAACAGCGTCGAAAGTAGTCATAGAATGCTGGAAGACTATCAACCTGTTGGCATAAAAAAGGCTCCTTGACTATAGTACGTGTCCCTGGACACAGGAACATTCCAGAAAACTGCATAGCCGGCGAGCTGGCAAGGAAGAGAAGGAAATATCCGCTCAAAATGTGGGCATACATCTAACCTGCTGCAAACACATTCAAGGAGGTAAACACCAGGTGGGCTGTGGAAACCACCTGCCATAATTCCAGGCAAATTCTGGCCAAAGATAGATGTAAAGCGATCCATAGCTCTCACTCTCGGATTAATAGTCGGATACCAGACACTACCCGATGGGTACACAGGGAAAGAGGTTAGGATACCACACCAACGACTTTTATCGGAGTTGCAGATACGAGGAAGAGGAGCAGAGCATCGAACATTATCTTTCGTCACGCGCAATCCTTATCGACTTTTTGTGATATATACATAAAACTAATAGGAACCAACTATGTATTGCATGGACTTTTCGAAACCCATTCTCTGTACAAATGTATCCAAATATTCTTATAACCATACATACACACATATTTGTAAACATACAATCATACATTCATTCGAAATCTAAATTTATTTTTCTCTAAAAACTTTTGCCAAATCACAATGGCATACATCTTAAAATCTCCTTTCATCTGCACACTCACACACACACACACATCGAACCTGTGGCAGAGATTCTTGCAACTGATATGCAGGAGCCTTTGAGCCGCATGTGGCGCATGGTATCTACGTTTTGCGATAATATACTCAATGCAAATATTATAATTTGCATATACAGGAAGCAAAAGTGGCGCATTGCCTGAGCCGCAAATCCGACGATACAATGCACACACCTTACAATAAGCGCAGCAGGGCGTGGATGAGTGTTGGGAATATGTGAAAGACAATGACAACACAATGCCATTGGCGCTCAACAACGCTAACACACATCCTACATACATGTATGTATATACACATGTGTAGATAAATTACTGCAGCAAACTTTTAGATGGGTACAAATATTCGTATGCATGCGCCTTCTTCAAGGAGAGGACAAAATTAAAACATTATCAGATCGTTGGCAGGTGATAACCTCTTTGTGTGCGGCGCGCGGATAGGCAGGTGGAGCTCGATGGCAGTGTTGAATTTTTATAGAATTTCCATGCAATAGTTGTTCGTTTATTTAGGCAGTAATTGACTTGCACTGCTTTATATTTTTAAGAAATATCTACAAAAACTGTGTACTACCTTAAATACTTACAGACTAATTTTCCCTTCTACTTTTCATTTTCTTTTTCCAGTACCACGACCTAAGGGCCAACACTCGGCGCCACGTGGCGGTCCACCACGCTCATGGACCAACACCGAACTCACCGAAGCACTGCAGCATGTCTGGAACAAGAAGATGACCACCTCGCAGGCGTCACGCATCTTTGGCATACCCTACAATTCATTGCTGATGTATGTGCGCGGCAAGTATGGCAAGAGCCTAAAGCTGGAGCAGTTGCGCAAGGATTGTATCAGCGGTCCACCACTTGAACTGCTACAGCTTGGTCTCGGTCATGGCACAGGTGGTAGCAAAAAGAAGGATGAATCACGCAAAGAGAAAGCGGCTAATAGAAATGCAGAAAACGCGGCAAATAATAACGCCGAACTTGACTTGGGCATACCGCTGCCGGGTATGGTGCCTGGCAACGGCCCGGGCGGTCCACGTAATGCCAACTCTGAGCCAGATCTGCTAGGTGGTCCCAACTCGCTGTTTGGGCCATTCCCCGGCGCTTTCTATCCGGACTTCCCCGGTGGCTTCCCTGGTCTGCCGCTAAGCATGCTCAACCTGCTGCCTCCGACGGATCGTCACCAACCACATGGCGCCGGCATGACGGCATTACACCATCTCGGAATGGACGAGGACTGCAAATCGGATCGCTCTAAACAATCTTCCTCGCTGGGAGATGATGATTTCGTCAGCGGCGGCATGTTGGGCGCTGGCATGCAACCGCTTGCGCTCAATCGCAACGACAATGAGCGACGCTCCGCCGGTGGTGAAATTTTGTCGGTGCCTGGTTCGGTGGGAGCGCCGCCACCGCCACCACCCCCTATGAGCGCTGCCGTCGGTGGCGGTGCGCAACAAAATGGCGGTATGCAGGATTGAAATTTCTGGCGGGATTGGGCCGCCAACCCCATGTTTTTCCCGCCAAACGACACATATGATGTGGAAGAGGCTATGAACGGCGGCATTGGCTTAGGTGGCCATCACCAGCACCAACAGCAACAGCAACACAACGATGCGACAACAACTGCGGAGCGCAACGGCAACTGCAGCGCCGGCGGCAGCGTGCTAGGGAACGTCGCGCGTGCGGCACATCAATTTCGCGAATTTAATCAAAATCTCTACATGGCAAGACGCAAACTGAAACGGCTGCGTCAGCGGCAATATCGGCGCTTCGGCGATTTGAATAATCGTGGTGCGGAGAGCGCCAATAATGCGACAAATGGTGGCAGCGGTGGCGGCGGTGGCGCCGGCAGTGGCTTCATGGCGCTGCAGATGGGTCCACCACCGTCGGCGTTGACGTTGCCCATGCCGCCGGCGGTTATACGCACTTAGTTTAATTTTACTGTAATGCTGTAAACTATATTATGTTCAATTAGTGTACATGATAGGAGGCGAGACGTCCGAGAGAGCGGTAGGAAGCTAGAAAATAATAAAATATATATTAAGTAAAATAATTAGTGAAAATTTGAGGGTAGAAAAGAATTGAAGGAGGTTGAGCAGAAAATCTTGCATAAGTAAATTATTATAACTGTGAATCGATGTGAATATGTAATGAACATGCAATATATTGTTTTGATTTTATTTAAACATATGTATGTAAGTATTATTAAAATAAAGAATTCTCTCATTAGTTTAAAGTATAGGCTTTTTTGCTTAACACGGCAACAACAAAACAACGATATTTTTAATTGTGAAATTTTGCATACTTCCAGTTTACTTAAAAACATATTAAAACAATTTAGCATGTTGTATTCAACCACTTCAAACTTTTTAAAAAAATTCTTATTACCACAGAAATATGAGTACACTACTCAGTCGATGAATTTTAGAGTGAATTTTTTATTCCGCAAACAATTTTTTTTTTATATACATAATTCAGATTTCAAAATAAATTTTTAAATTTACTTGCATAAAACTTGTATAAAAAACTATAAGAAACTGCTCACTTGCTAGTAGTGCTCTTGAATATTCTGCTAAATACTTTCGCTTTAAATGCTATTTCGCTCCACTGTAACCTTATAATTATGAACCATTTTAGTTTTTGGTGCTTTTAGTTCCTATTTTTTGTTGAGGCGATGAAAAGACATACCCAAAAATATACGCAAACTTATATTTAGTAATTTTTTTAAGTTTATACAATGTAAACTATATACAATTATACAAAAATTAATAATTTTTAGAAGCTTTTAAAGCACAAATTCTATGTTAAACTATTTTTTTATAACTTTAAGTTGTGTTTACTGCTAAGTTAATTTTCATTAAATTTAACAAAGAGTTATGACATAATTAAAAATTTCATTAATTTTAATCACTTCATCACAAATAATCAAAATAACCTAAACTTTTTTATGGCAATATCTGTAAATAAATAATAATTAATATTTATATATCAGCATTAGTATTAACAATAATAAACATAAATCAAAAAGTAATAAAAAATAACGAACCAATAAGTGAAAAATATGTGACAACTTTGTATAAAAAATGGCATTCGGCAAATAATGGTCGGCAAAAGTTATTACAAAATGATATATGTATGTATGAAACATGCCGATGGAGATTATTGTATATGTAGTAAAAGCTATAAGTATTATCATTGTACCAAAATTTTTAAACAAAAACAAACACTACAATATATTATTGAGTAAGCTATTGAAATCTTAAAAATAATTTGAACAAAATAAATTGTAATAAAAATTTAAAACGCACTAAATTTTTCATAGGTTTTTTTTCAACAACGGTACGAACTCAAACCGAAAATCTTTTACATCGGAAATGTCAATGCATGAGAGTATATATCGCTCATTCACTTCCAATAGTTTCATAATTAAAAAATATAAATTTTGAGTTGAGGATGCGGATATTACGGCTACCTCTTCTTCTATATTGTATAAAAATTTCATAGCTGCATCGATTACCAGCATGATTCAATAATAGAAAGGTTTTGTAATAAAACAGCCTTCTCGCTTCCACACATAAAATCGGCTCCTTTACATGTACAGAATGTTGCTTACTCTACAGTTTCTAGTGAAATTAGTAGTAAAACCAACAATTCTTCATACTAAATATTCGTTAGCATCACCTTCGTTTGCGTAATTTTCTAGAACAAGTGTAGAATAGCGACCGTTTAGCTATAAAATAACCAAAAATGCCGATTGATAGAACTTTTTACGCTGATTTCAACGATACCACACTTATTTGGCGCAGGTAAAAAAGAAAGAAGATATAAGAGGTTTATTTGCTTTGTTTACTTGTATTTTTTATTATCACTAAATTGTTGAAACCCAAAAGTAGATCATGACAAAATATGTAATATCGAATTAAAGGTAGTAACTTGTACTTTCTAAATAATATAAATTTCTTTACCATTAATTATGCAGTTTTTTTCAAAAAAGGTTATTTCATGAAAAAATTACATTTGTTCGTTTTTTAGTGGGTTTGGTTTAAAAATACAAAAAGCTATAAATTGTGTACATCAGCTGAAAGACAAATTAATTATCTTCATGGTGACGTCATTAGTTTTTTAATCGGTTATTTGGTCCATAAGATATTAATATTTAAAAAATCTAAAATATTACTTTAACCTTCTAGAACGTCTTCATTTTTCACTTGCGCCAAATAATTTTGGCATGGTCGAAATGAGCATAAAGAGTTATATTGATCTGCATTTGCAAAAACGCATAGCTGAACGGTCGGTAGATTTCTTCCAGGAAATGACGATAACTGAAATCAAAAATGCATATTTTTATGTACTGTTTAGTATTTCCATTAAAACACCAAATATATTGCGAATTCGCATAGAATTAATGGGCGTGTTTCTAAGACGTAGCTGTTGCTAAACTGTTGAGTGTTTGTTTCAGAAACGCACAGTTGAGTAGTTCCGCTCAGCTCAACGGTTGACAACTTTACGCCATTTTTTCCATCATAAAATTATTTCGCTACATGAAGTCAACAATTTACATATATAAGTCAAAAATAGGCATGTTTTATTCAACCATTCAACAAGCAAATAGCTAAATCTTGGTCAAATAAAACGAAAATAGCTTATTTCCTATGTTAGCCTAATTTTGAGTTGTTTGACTGCAAATAGTGTCAAAGTAAGTTTTTGCCTCTTTCTGATTGGCTGAAGGAGAAAATTTCTGATGCTGAATGGCAATGCCTCTTGTTCAATATACAAGCGGGTAAGTCCTCCATACAAAATAAGCTAATAGCTTAAATTTCTGGACAAATAAAACACGGCTAATGACGTTTCCCTTCCGCCAGTTTTCATAGAAAATTCAAATAAATAAATAATTTGTCTGTAAATTGCTGGCGAAACTGGCTGTTAATAAAGTAAAATACACGTACAAATACATTTATTAAAAATAAAATAAAAAAAACTCCATTATAAATCCTGTGCTATCCATATTTTTGGCTTAATATTTTTTTATTTTTGAGCTGTTTTATTTAATTTTGCTTGTTTACAAATGTTTTGGCAGTTTGTGTATCATACCGTTTCTAAGACGTAACTGTTGAACTCAACAGTTGACAGCATTTCAGCAACAGTTGAGGTAAACAGTTGCATCTTAGAGACGCGCCCAATAATACACATTTTACTTCTAATTGTATACTTTGCGTACTTTTTGTAGTACCTTTCTACTACCGTTTTCTCAAAAGGCGATCTCATTCTTCCCCTTTCTCCTACTTCCAAGATACAAATCTAGATGAAGGAGTGTCAAATTTTAGCTGTCACAAATTACATAACCTTGTATTATTGAATCATGGATTACCAGTATCTCACTAGAACAAAATATATTTTCATTTTCACTATGGGAGTAAATATGTAAATTCAAAACTTTAAAGTGGGTTTTCTCGAGTTACCGTTTATTGAGTTGTGACACTATTGAAGTAAATGAGCGATATGTAAATACATACATACATACATATATTTGGGTATGGGTATTTCCTATTGCATTTTCATACTTTCGGCTAGACGACAAAATAATAAGCGATTGAGAACAAAATATATGATCGAAACTAAATGTCGTTCTCGTAGGTTTGTTCCCAAGAACGCTTAAAAACCCAAACCGAAATGAGAAAAAAACTTGCGGGGGTGTTTTCACAAGGACGAAAGTGGGAATAAAACTTTGAAGAACGTTCTCAACGGGAATTACTTATATAAGAACAAAACCCTGGGAATGTTCCCAAAGCTGATGAAATGCAAACAACACTTTTGGAAATATTTTTAAGAAAACAAAATGCGAAGAAGTCTCCGTAACTTTGTCTCGAAGAATAATGTGGGGACTAAAGTCTCAGAAACATTCTGACAGGGAACGAAATGGGAACAAATATTCACTAGACTATTCGCGGACAATGAAAGCGTGAGCAAAATTTTTCTCGTAGCGCTGCATTAGTTTGAAATATTTGTATATTTAAATTAATCAAAGAAGAACTTAGAGATATTTATGCAAACTAGTATCGCCGAGTTGTCGAAATTCGACCAACCCACATTTTTAACACACTTTTTCATTTTGCTCGTGCCGTTTTCAGATCTACCGGCCCTCTTAATAGTCTAGGTTACTAATATTGTTTGGTTGAGCGATATACATAATTCTGTTAAATAATTTTACAGCTCACAGGTGCAGTAGGAAGAAAAAGATTTGTATAGGAATCCGTTATCGAATTAATATATAGATAGTAGATGGTGAAATCAAAGGAGGCATTCATCGGCTCGGCTCTGCAGTCACCAATCCCAGGAGTATTTCTCTCAGATATTAAAATGAGTAATGCACTGCGACCCAGTGGTCTATTGTGCTCTTAATGCTAGTAACGTGTATTTCGAATTTGAAGCTCGATTCCATTTCGCACCTCTTCTTTGAATTACCTTTCAGGCAAGATAATAATCATTGAAATCGGTTGAGAAACAAGGAGAAGTGGGGAGGAATAGATTTGTGTGGGATTTCGTTAGCGTATTAATATATAGATTAAGCAAACGAAATACTTAAGACACGAATTTTTCTTGCACAGAAAATGAAAAATTGCTCCATAAATGGACAGTTCACTCTGATGATAAACGATCTAGAAGTTGAGATGAGCCAGCTTTCTTCTGGCTTAGAATTAACAATCATGGTTCTCACTGAAACGATTTTTCATATTATCACCCAGACGCCCCTCTCATTATTCTCAACGTTAAGTTCAAAAGGTTGTTGTTCTTGTTTTTTTTTTTTCTAGCAAAACATTCCCCAGACTTTTGTTCTTATTTCTTAGGCCTTTTTTCGTAAGCGAGGCTCGAAAACCGATTCCATTTCGATATTTTCATTAGAAGGCGTTTTTACGTTGCGGGTACCAATCCCAGCGCGCAACCTTTAGTGGCATGGGTGTTTTTCAACCGGATACACGCTTATATAGCGAGCCTCTTGCTACAAGATGCTTGGTGTTATTTGCTAATCCCGCCAGAGGCAACGTGTTAAAATGATAATAAAATTTTTTTTTGCATCTTCGAGTTATGAAAAATCATCAGTGAAGTGCAGAACACAAACGTATACAAACGAAAAATCGCCACCCAAAAGTTTGGTTGATGTAAACAAAATTGTGGTTAATATTACCAAATCATTGTTGAAAATATCAACCAAGGCATTATTAATATTAACCAAAAATCACGTTGATTCCTTTTCAAGTTTGAATTTGATAATATTAACCAATTTTTGGTAGATTTTTCTCTCAGTGTAAGTACTTGAAACTTTGAAGTAACTGTAAACAACACAAAGACCGCTCTTACTGTAAAACAATCTGAGCCCGTTAATGCTAAAAAATTTCATATTTTACGATGCCAACGTCAGGTCGACCCAAATGGCATTAATGTTGCGAAACCTAATGGCTTGTTTATTAACCCTCGTACTATTTCTGTCATAA